ATTAGGAATGCTAGGAATCGTATGAACTCGTAATTAGGGAGAAGCCTTCTTGAAAGGTAATTTAGAGAGTGGCATTAACAATGATGACTTGAATGTTGAATTCCTAAAATATATGAGAGTGGATAAGATGAAATTGACCCCCAATAACATATTCATCAATATATTTCATTGAAAGTGTCTGTCTTTTGTTTTAGCCATTGATCAACCTCATGCATACATGTTTATTTTCGTCTTTTGCATAGTAAAATCCAATTATTTTGTTCTTAAGTCTTAGCTAATCAACAAATCACATAACTAAACTAGGCCGTGAGTCCTTTGGGAGAACGATACTTGGTCTTACCGAGTTTATTACTTGAAACGATTCGGTCATACTTGCCGATTGTTCAACAAGTTTGTGACATCATATTTTGGTGATCATAAATTTGTCCATCAGTGGTCTGTTGATGGAAGCACCCTTAGCATAGACTTGGTTATGACTGGCCATTTTCGTAAAGTTTGAAAAACTATCAAAGCAAGCTTTGATACCAATTGTTGAGATTGGTATTGCGCACCGGAACGTTTAGAGAGCGTGAAAATAGTCAATAACCAAGAGGGGAGGGGTGAATTGGTTCTTTTAAAAAATATGATTTTCTTTCTCAACTTTTATCGAACAGTTTATAAGAAAAAAGTATAAAGATAAAGAAAATCACACAAATGGATTTTTATCCTAATTCGAATCAACAGATTCTACGTCCAGTCGTTAATCACTATAAAGAGTGATTAACCTTTTCACTATAATTTAGTTTCAGATTACAAACAAAAACTCACTTAAACTTAGAGAACTTCCTCAGAACTTATTTGTGCTCTCAAGTAGTTTAGTTAACCTTCTAAAGGTTTAGGAAAGGTGTATATATAGGCCAGGGACAAAAAATGAAAAACTTGCTCCCAACTGCCAGTGATAATCGATTACCATAAGTGATAATCGATTATCCTTAGTGATAATGGATTATTGTTGAACCTTGGACAATATCAAACCAAGCAGTGATAATCGATTATCCCCTATGATAATCGATTATTGCCGCGAGCAACCCTTTTCTGTTTTAGCTTGTGACAATTGAATATCCCCTTTGATAATCGATTATTGCCGTAAAGATTCACTAGTTTATGAAACTTCTAAGTATTTTTATAATTGAAAAATGATTCCTATACAATGATTGCTTAACATTAATAATATAGATTCTTCAAGTTTTCAAGAGTATCGTCATCAAAATCACTTCAACTTCAAGACATCAATGTTCCTCATTAGTAACGCAAATTTAAGTTATAAACAGGTTCCTTAATCAAATACAATGTCAAGGTTACCAATTTTCTCTTTTGAATGGCTTTAAATTTTATATAGATCAAAATTTGAGGTTTATTGTCAAAAACTAATATAGATAATCAATTATCAGGCTGGATAATTGATTATCTCAATCAACAACTTGTTTAATCTTCAAGACTCTCTAGGATAATCGATTATCCTACTTGATAATCAATTATCTTAGTTAGAGTTCCTTCCTGACTTGAAATCTCTCTAGAATAATCGATTATCTTGTCTGATAATCGATTATTTCAATCAAAGATCATTCTTTATTTGAAATTTCTTTGGAATAGTTGATTATTAGATGAGATAATCGATTATCTTAGAAGAAATGGAGTTTTGAATGTCTAGCACTTGTTTCTTTTATTTTTGTAGTTATGTTATGAATAAAGATTTGTTTAGACTAGTTTATAGGTATATATATGTTGGATATTATCGATGTTCATGGGATAATATATATGTATATGATGATGAGAATGAGAGTTGTGGTATGAGAAGAATCTCAATGAGAGATTCTATATTCAAGTAAGTTGTAGTGGATGCTTGCCAGTGAGACTCAGTAAGCAGGTATCCTGATACCAATCATTCAACTCATGTAAAGATGAATGGGGTAGTAGACAAAATGGCAAGAGGTCTTTGCTCTAATCCTTTTGTGTCTTAAGAGTGAAAGATTAACCTCATGGGTAGCAGGTCGAGTTACCCTTGTTTATAACTCTATAGAGTATAAATACTATCATGGTTGCACACCTTCAGTAACATCCATATCAACATCGTATATGGATAATTGAGATAAAGGTCTTTTGTTGCATGATTTGATGCTTATTGAATTTTATAAATTGTTAATTTAAATTATGATGTGTTAATTCCTTTATACATTGCCCTGCTTGCTTAGTTTTCTATTATCAGTATGTTTTGTTAAAATCTTTGGCAGTGATCACCAATTGGTGTGAGCAGAGGATGTTGTATCTCTGCCATTGATGGAGCGGGAAGATACCGTCGAGTGATATTCGGAGTTTAGTATATAGATATGTATATAGATTTAGATATATACTTAGATTATGTTTTATATAATGGTTTACCTTTTGAGATACTCTGTGTAGAAGAAGTTTTGTAAATATGTTTTTATTGATATAGTATTATTTGGATAGTTTTGACGATAAATTACATTTTTTTTCTTATCTATATCCTATGTTCTATTTAACCTATAATGTTTTATTTAGTATATTACACTATTAAATAAGATGTTACAAAAAATCATCATTATACTAGTGAATAAGAAATATTATTATAAAAATGACTCAAATTCTCAATAAAAAAATAAAGTAATAAAATAAAACAAGACAATTAAAATTAACATAATTTCAAACAATTAAAAAGAAATAAACAAAAAAAATAGAAAAACTTATTTTTAATTTTTTTCTTATTTATAAATTATCTATTTATAAAAATAATAATGAAATGAAAAAAAAATAGTATTAACACTATATTTTAATAATACTTGACAATGAAATGTGCAAAATCATTTAGCCAACTTATTTCTATATATTTGTTTCTTTTATTAAAGTAATAACTTAATTACTAGTAACCAATTAATGTTGTTATATATACATATATTAAAAATGGGTGTTACAGCAAAACATTATAAGTTGTTAATAACATGAAAAAAAAAAAAAAGTGGTTACATCCCCTATATATACTATAGGGAATAAGTTTTTCCTATTGTCCAACTCTTGTTTTGCAGAGACATTCAATAGGTCTTTCTGAACGTCAAAAATGGAGATTTTATCACCTTTGAGAGTCTGGAAAACTATTCTAACAATCTTATATGTGGCTTTAAATCCCTGCTTATCAGCTAGGGTTCAAGGTTTGAATTTCACCAATCTTTTAGTACTTATTATTATATGAAATTTTATGAATTGTATTATATAGATGTAGAAATGCTACATATTTTGTTAAATTTATTTATTTTGTGCCTTCATGAATTATTGAAATTTAATTTATATTACTTGTTTTTATTTACCATATCTGTATTCCTACATCTATTCCGAAATTATTGATTTCTCATTTCATTTCAAAATTATTAAAGTCTTAAAAAACTTCTAACTCTCGTCAATTATTTTTTTTCTCACACACACCCCAGTTTAAACAACAAAATTTGATTTTTACGAGGAATAATATCCTTACAACCCATTGCTAAAGCACATTAATTAACAAATAAAAAACAATTTAAATATAAATATTAAATAAGAGAGGTTAGATTATATATATATATATATATATATATATATCAATACTTTACACGTATTAAACGCTCCTTAATTTAATGTACTTACATTGGAATTAATAGTTTTAGAATTAAGTGATTATTTTTAAGGCAAGAACACAATGCAATCGCTGGTGAAGTGTATTTATGTTTTTCAATATGTAATTGGTATCACCCATATATTGTCATTGTTTAAACCTTGTATAAAATTATGATTGCAGATTCACACATTCCCGAAACGTTTCCATTATCTGACATTGATACTGGTTTTGGACTTTCTACAACCCAGGTACTCTCGTATGTTGTAGTAAAATACGTTTGTTTCATTGTTTTTAGGTTACTTTTAAGTTACTCATTTTCATAACAAAACTGATCAAACCAATAAAAGAAGATTAATGAATAGAGATAGAAGAAGCAACTACAAATATAACATTTTATTTGTTGAATATAGATAGGAGAAACAAATACTATTCCTTATCGTTCTTCTTTGGGAGATTTACGAAAATTTTACCACTTTCCAAAACGGGGATCATTTCCTCCAAACTTCTTGTTTGGAGCAGGAACTTCAGCCTTACAGGTACGAAAATTTTTTAAGACAACAAAATATCTTAGTATTTGGGTAATTTGTCGTTATTATGTTATTAATTAATTAATCTTGATATAGGTTGAAGGAGCAGCTTCCGAGGGAGGAAGAGGACCAGGAATCTGGGATGATAGAATTAACCGTAACAAAGGTTAACCAATATATGTTTTTGTGTTATAATTAATGGAAATATTTAACTCTCAAGATATGTTATTACTTGAATTATCATTTTCTTAAACCCCATTCATTACTTTTTCCATAACAACCAGAAGCATTTATTGATGGTGATAAGTTTCCTACAATGATCCAACATTATAAGCGATACAGGGTTAGTAACGATTAGCATGATTATATGTTTGTGTACAAGAACATGGTATTTTTCTATTTTATATGTTTATTTTGTTAATGATCTTGTAGGAAGACGTCCAACATTTAAAGAATCTTGGAATAAATTCTTACAGAATGTCCATCTCATGGAGTAGAGTCTTGCCAGGTAAATTTTGAAAACCAAGAAATATAGTAATTACTGTGATGATATAAAGAACACTTACATATTTTTCTCTTCATTTTTCAATTAAAAATATAGATGGAACCATAAAAGGAGGTGTAAATCAAGAGGGTGTTGATTTCTACAACCATTTGATCGATGAATTACTTGCAAATGGTATGGTGTAATTATTTTTTTTTCAAATGAGTAAAATTAGAGAAAACTTTTCTAACATTACACACACAAAAAATATATTAATAATGTGCATAACTTGATATATTAATTAAACGTAGGCATTACTCCTTTTGTGACTATCCTACACTTTGACTATCCTCTTGCCATTCAGGAAAAACTTCATGGATTTTTGAATAGCTCCATTGTGTAAGAACTTTCTTGATCTATTCTAGATATCGTGCTTTCATGAATTTAATTGAACAACATAGATTTTTACATCATGTTCACAATGATTAGTATAAAAATGAAAATTTTCAGGAATTATTACAAGGATTATTGTGAACTCCTTTTCAAAACATACGGAGATCGAGTTAAGCATTGGACTACAGTGAATGAGCCACAAATTGTAGGTTTAATTACTTACATGCATGGTTTTGACAATGATGATCCTGAACCATGCCAAGCTACCAAACTCTGCCAACAACCTTATACTGTAGTTCATAACTACATCCTTTGCCATGCTGCAGCAGTCAAGCTATACAGAGAAAAATTTCAAGTATAGTATCTTTTGTGTCGTACATTGCCTCAAAATATGTGTATAGTTTAATTTTAAGTTGCTATGACATATTCAATTACATGTGGGTGCATTATATAAATAAGGGTTAAATATGTTTTTAGTCCCTAAATTATTGACCGTTTTTGGTTTTCGTCTCTCTTCCAAAGTAAGGTACAATTTAGTCCTCAATTTTTAAAAAACGTTCGTTTTAGTCGAAAAAACGAACGTTTTGAGGACTAAAACGAGGACTAAAAACAAAATTTTAAGGACTAAAACGAACGTTTTTCTAAAGAATGAGGACAAAATAGTACCTTACTTTGAAAGAGGGACGAAAAACAAAAACGGCCAATAGTTTAGGGACTAAAAACATATTTAACCCTATAAATAACCAATCTTTTACTAATGCTAAATCAAACTCTATTAGTATAGTAAGAATTGTAAACAATAATTTTAAATTTTACTATATTAAAAAGTAGATTTTAAACATGATTCAATTCTACAAAACTAAGTAGGGTTTGCACCTATTTACTATTAACTCATTTTATCTCCGATCGACATGAAATTTATAATATGAATTTTGAAGAAAAACAAGTTATTCTCTTGTAAACATATGCTACATGATGAAGGCAACACAAAGAGGAGAAATTGGAATTGTTATCGGATCTGAAAGTTTTGAACCCTACAGCTCAAAATCAGAAGATGTGGCTGCTGCTGAAAGACTTACAGATTTCTTGATTGGATGGTTAGTTTTGTTAATTAAGCCTTCACAAAATCACACCCTTATGCTTATTTGGTATAATATCTGAAGTTTGATGTATCATAAAATTTGTGACAGGATTTTAGACCCTGTAGTCTATGGAGATTATCCAAAAATCATGAGAGAGTTAGTGGGGAACAGACTACCCAATTTCACAGAAGATGAGAAAAACATGGTTGCAGGAAGCACAGACTTCATTGGAATCAATTATTACACTTCTCATTTTGCTAAGCATGAAACAAACAAAACAAATATATCTTTAACAGACAATTATGATGCCTTAGGAACATCAGAAGGTGAGTTTTTTCTTACTAAATTCAACTAATTGGATTACAAGAGACATGATGCATCAAATCTTTATATCTTCTCTCTCTTTTTCTCTATAGATTTCAATGCAGAAGGAAAAACCCTTGGTTACTTGGTGAGACAATCATTTCATAAGAGTGTTGTAGTTTAATAATTAAACTATTTTCTTTTTACATTTTTCAATGTTCATATTTTGTAGGATAAGTATGGTGGTAATTTTGTCTATCCCCAAGGATTATATAACATTTTACAACATATCAAGAAAAAGTACCAAAATCCCATTATCTACATAACTGAGAATGGTTTGTGAAACAATGATTCATTATTTTCACATCAAGTATCTATGATTTCAAATAAGAAGATATTGATCTGCCTTTGTCTTCCTTCCCATAGGTATTGCTTCATTCAACATCACAAATCCATTGATAGACATACATCGGATCAAATACTTAGCCACACATTTAAACTATACCAAAGCAGCAATTGAGTAAGTTCTGTGTCTTAAACTTTTTTTTTTGTGTGTGTATATATATACTTACCACTTTTAAGTGAGGTAAGTTAATTTTGTTTTATATTTTTCCTTTTGTTATGGCGTCTATTTTGATATTTAGAGGAAAATGTATAAAAAATTGACGAGTTTGTTAAATATGTTTTTTATTTAATGTAGAAAATATAGAATTATAATTATAAGTTGAAAAGTTAATTGAGTGAATCATAATTCACTATTCATAAGTTGATTTTTTTTTAATTAATAAGTTATATAATCATTTACTTCGAAAAGGTCAAATTCATTGAAAGTTTATTAGTTGTAAAAGTTGACATAAATGTCTAAAGCCAACCAAATATATAAATTTAATGTTGAAGGTGATTTTACTTACAATATTCCTTGAATGAATGAATGTTTTGTATCTTGTAAAGTAGACACTAATGTTGGTGTTTTGAAATGTTTTTACCAATAGCAACGGTGTAAGAGTTGGTGGTTATTTCGTGTGGGCTGCCTTTGATACCTTTGAATTCAGAGCTGGGTTTTCCAGAAATTGGGGAATTATTCATGTTGATTTCAATAATAATCTCTCGCGTTGCACAACAGTTGCTGGTAAGTGGTACAAGAGATTCTTGAATCGTGTCATTCCACATTAAGACATTCTTAAATTTCACTGAGAAAGAGGAATTACAAAAACAATAAAGAGAATCTCAAGATTCCAGTTGATGTTAATTTTATTTTTATAGTTCTTTTCCTGCCACACTGTGTTCTTTATCCGAAAATACAGATTTTTGTGTTACATTATAAACATTAGTTTTCCAATAACAGTTTTTCCTCTGGTTTCATCCAATACAACGAATTTAGATGTAAAGAGATGTCAAAATTTACTTTGGATTCAAGTTGCTTTGTAAAAAACTAAGTTTAGGTGAGCTAAATTGTTTCATCATACAATACTTAATGGAAAAGACACCTTTCTCATACAAACAGAAAAATATTATTTTTCTATCTAATTTTAACGGAGACGAGAGACTACTATATTATAAAATTTATAGACTAAAAAATAAATTTTAATTTAAAACCAAAACAATCCAATTTTAAAAAAATACAAAAAATATATATTCCAACCTTAAAAATTTCATTAGTTTCTAACAATAATGTAAAAACATATTCACAAAGAAAGAACATTATTTCTCATGGAAGTAATTACATGATTTGCACAAAGTTAAATATGGCTTTTCGATCATTTTTAAGAGAGTAAACTCTTTTTTTATATCAGTTTATAATAAGTATAATTTAATGGAATAAAGGAGTTTTCCAAACTCATTCGAAAAACAAAATAAAAAAAGGTGATGACATTTTATGAATTCTCTTGCTTACATAACTTTCTTTTAATTAAAGTAGTTTACATTTTACATGTATATTTTTTTTATCAATTTTTTTAATTAAAAAATTGAATTCACAACTTCTTTCTTTTTCAAACTCTTAAAACTAATCTTACATTTTTCAAAAGTTAATGAAGAAAGTTGAATTATAATTTCTTTCACCATCCATTCCAAATTTTTCAAACTAATTTTATATTTCTCAAATGTTAATTTGAACCCGTAACTTCTTCCAATTTCTTTTTCAACTTTTATCATTTAATCTATCTTATAATTCTAATTTCATATGCATATGATATATTAAGAAGCGAAAAAATTTTGTCATGTAATAAGAGAAGTAATTTTAGACCAGACATAGATAGTAATTTCAGACCCCACAAACTAAAATTATCATGAAAAGGCTGAAAACATCCATTGAGCCTTTGTCTTGAACACGTTCCATTTGTGATTTGTTTTTCCTGTTGGGGACCAATTCTCCAATTTATTAATCTCATTCCTCAAGAGAATTTATTTCTCACACTATCATGTGGGAAATTTCTTTTGCGGGAAGACGAATTCTGGTGAAGATTTTTATTTGTATTATGTAATTGCCTGCTAAAATTTGGCTCTCTAGGAGACGAATTCTAAGCAGCTATTTCTTTTCTAATTTAAAGAAATTAAATAACTTAAAAAAAATTCTTTATTAAACAAATTAATTATATATATATATTGATTTATTAAAAATAATTTATTAAAAATTTAAAATTTTGATAGTGTGATGTAAATTTGAAATTAAAAAATATATTTAATTTAATATTATAAATAAGTTACGAGTAAAAGATTTGAAGAATAAAAATAATAAATAAGATAATTTGAATATATTGTAATTATGGTAATAGGAAAATTATGATAATAGTATATTCTAATGATGGTTGTTAATTTTGTAAAACTAAATTTGAAATGCACAAGTAGAGTTGATGTCATCTTCATGGATGGTTTCCACTTCTTGAAAGTGTTTGACCATGGTTAGGAGATGTGTTATCATCCCCTCTCTCTTGAAAAGGATTTCTTCTCAAATCTTCAACTTGAGCTAAGACAAACTTCTTCATCTTCTTTGGAGTCATTGTGCTCTTTTTTTTTTCGTCGGGGCCAAATACCTATCTTATAACACAGGTTAGAACAAGTGTTAAAATAACACTAGTACAAAAATCGCGTACAACGTCGAATATTTTGGGCTTTTAACGGTAAATTCGTGAACGATGTCATATCAGGAGACGTTAAATTTACGTCGAATTTTATTAATATACGACGTTAACTTAACGTCGAATTTTATCAATATTCGACGCTAATAATTTTTTTTTGTTTTTTTTAATTAATTTTGATCCTTTTCTACAACTCTACAACACTTGAAAAAGCAAAAAAACAACAAATTTCAGTGTTTGATATTTTATAAAGCATGAACTATGAACATGTAGTGCAATATCAATAGCAAACAATAATAACCAACAACAAACAAGTTCAATCAAACAAGTTCAACTAAACAACAACAAACAAGTTCAACAAAAAAAAACAAAAAAACAAGTTCAACAGATAAGTTCTTCAAAACGAAAACGAAAACTAACCTTCAAAAGGTGGGTTCGGAGAATAAAGTTTTGTCATAGTGAGAGAGAAAGCAGAAGACGACTATGAAGGACAAGAGCACGAAAATAATCGATTAAAACAAAAAAAAATCATACATAAAGTAATTAATTAATATGCATTTGTATCAAGTGAAAGAAAGATTACATGTGATGTTTGTCAAACTTCGTTCGAGAAAAGTTTGATAAGAGAAGAGGGTATCACGCGCTAAGATAAAGTTAATGAATTTTCAATCTCGCGCTCAAATTTTTATTGAATTCACTAACCTTTTAATGTCGAATTTAAAAATCATATGACGTTTTATATCATTTTACGTCGAATTACAATTCTAAACGACGTTTAATATTTAATTACAAAAATGTCACCTCTCATTTTTAACGTTGGTTATTCAGTTTTTGTACTAGTGTAATGTAAATATGAAGAATATAGCTCCCAAGAATGATACACCTTAAATCAAATGAATGATCAAGGTCTTGGAGATTAGAAGCATCTTTAAAGCTTTTATTTGTCTTGTGTTGGGTGTAAGTGTTTGAAAGAATATTCATTCCAACTCAACAGTCTATTTGTAGAGATACGTCATCATACCCTCCCTTTTGAAAAAGATTTGTCCTGAAATCTTTATGTTTCTTTATGACAAAAACCTTTTTCGTATTATTGATCAATGTGTGTTTCTTTCTACTAGGATCAAAGATCCATATGCAAGTTTCATCAAACACAAATTTAATAAATTTTTGTACCACAAACAAAATGCATTCAAAGGAAGATTTAGAAGAAGACCTTATATTAATTTTAAAAGAGTTTTGAAGGCCTACTTCACAAATGTTTTTGTTTTCTTTGAGTTAATGCTAACATAGAAGGTAAAATTAACTCAGTGTGAAGTTGAAAATTTTGAGAAGTTTAAAACGATGGAAGGTGAAAATGAAGTTGAAAATTTTTCAAGAATAAAAGTTGGAATAATGAAAGATGGTTTAATGATAAATTGAGAAAAACTCAAAGATTGGAAAACTCCCTTTATCATATTAGTTTCAACTATGATTGAGGGAGTGGTAGGAGCCTTTAGTAGCACTTCCTCTTCTTTTATTCTCTCAATTTATTCTTTTTCTCTCTTTTCTTTCTCATTCCTTCCTCTTATCTTTTTATCTTCATACTCTTTACTTTTTTCTCTCCTTCTCTTTATCTTTTCTTTCTTGCTCCTTTTTCTCTCTTATCTTATCTTCCTTTCTCTTCTTTGGACTCTTGGACGAGGTTGGTAGAATTGATTGATAATTCAACTATCTTCCTCAAATTGGGTTATTTGGGTGAGAGTTTTGGAACTCCTCCTTGAGTATTTGATGCGGGCTGTCGCGGCCCATCAAATTTGATTGCAAAAATTAATGCAGTATAGTGCTAGGAAGTGACTCCTAGGTCGTCTCTCAAGGACCAAATGTGGTTCGAGACTTAGGTCAAACACGTAGTGGGGGTTGTGAAAGATTTTGCGAATGCAAATGACAAAATTAAAAATGAGAATTCAATACAACTAAATACAATTGAAAACATTAAAGTGAATGAAAACATTAAACTGAAAACTACAACAAATAAGTGTCCAAACAGAGTTCAAGCTATAAAAATGCAACGCTTAAGCTAAAATATTAAAACACAGACTAGCGAGAATTTAAAAGAAAATATACAAAAAAAATGCTTGAACCAAATTAAAGTAGCGAGAACTAACTTCAAGAAAACTCATTAGGTTTCAACTTTTGAGCTAGAAGTAAAATGTCATTTTGCAGCAATCCACAATGTCATTCATTTGGCAACTATGCAAAGACAAGAAACATAAGAAAGATGTGAACAGTAAAGGAACCAAAACGTGGCAGCAAATAAAAAAAAAAATAACTAAGCACGTAAGCTACTCTAAGCTGGAATAAAAAAATTAAAGCATCAAAGCAAAATGAAAGTATGCTTCTCTTCCAAGCCATGACCAAGCTGCCTGCTCTATCAAAATCATCCGTAACCTTCCATATCTCAATCTCCGTTACTTCCTTTATTTCCAAACCAAAATCCTACTTCTTAGGTGGCATTCATTCTCCTCATACGCGTGCTTTTAAAATGAAAGATCTTCCTCACACTTCTCTCCGTGGCTGGATGTCGTGTGCAAGCTGGACCAAGAGTGCCTCCCGTGCTTGATGCCCATCACCCTATTCTCCAATACTCACACCACTTCCAAGCTGATGGACCTGCTTTGCTGTTCGTCACCCCCTGCTGGACCGCTTCTCTCCTAGACGTGTGAAGCTCTCCAAGTTGCTGGAACTTTAAGAGGTGGCAGTAGCACTTAATCCTGGGTAGTGTCCTTGATGTGCGTGGCCTCCCACTTCCACGTCCCAGCTCTCTCCCCTTCTCCGCGTGACACCAAACTGCTGCTACTCTGTGGAATCCGCGTGAAGCTTGCTTTGCTGGATGCGTGATATTCTTTCTCTGCTGATGGGACAAGACGAGACGATTGCTAGGGGTCACCTCTCCACGTGCTAGACTGCTTTTATTGGGTCGTGGCTGCTGCTGGAAAATGAAGCGTGGACGTGTGCTTGGACGTAGCAAATCCCTTGGAAACTTGCTTGCACGGGCCGTGATAAATGAAGAACGGAAGTTGCTTTGCTGCTGCTTCTTGGACGCGTGGTGGACTCCCTCAAAAGCTTTGGACCACGGACTAATCAAATTTCCAGACGCAACCCCCTCTTACGTGTGTTGTTGTTTCTGCTGGAGCACGCTACGTGTTGTCTTCACGTGGGCCTCTTGCCTCCTCTCCAACGTGCAATGCTGGATGGCTGCTCCTCTACGTGTTGGACCAGCTGTGTGTCACACCCTTCATTCAAGCTGCTGGACCGCGTTTCCCCATGGGCCATGTGCTATTTGCTTCCAGCGCTCTACATCGTGTGCACCTCCCAAAGAAGCTGTTGTTGGATGTAATAATTGAAGCCTGTGCTTGATGGACGCACCCCTTTCTCAAAGGGCCAAAGAGTAAAATCACCATAGTGTCCTCTTTCTTGTGCACACTTCTTTTATGAAGAGTCTTGAATTAAATGACAACCTTCCAAATGTCCCAAATTGTATTTCCAAAATTTTCCTGTAATTAATAAATCAAATAATTAGCTTCAGAAAACCCAAATTAGCACAACTACGAATTTCCGACCAAATTAAGCAGAATTCGAAAAACGGAGAAATAACAAACAATTAAACATAATTCCCTGGTTTATTTAAGTGTAATAAACTAAATATAATTCAAGAAATAACGACTCATCAAGCTCCTACTCCTACTCTCTTTTATTTCTAGTTGAATCTTTTCTTGTTTTTCATTAAGAATTCTAAGTTCTTTTTCTAAGGTAGCAAGACATTTTTTTCTTTCAACACTTTCTTTCTTTTCTATCTTTCTCATTTATTCATCTCTTCTTCTTTGAATCTCTCTTTTTCTCTTGTCACTCATGAGCTTTCTCACTTTTTCTTCAAACTCATCTTCTCTTTCAAAGAACCCTTCTACACTTTTTAGAAAAGTTTTTCCTCTTTTAATGAGTTCTCTCATCTCACATATTTGCTCTTGGTTTATTACAAGGGAAGAAGGAACAAATTTTCTTCTCATGCATGCTCTCAAGTCACATCAATATTTAATTGGAGATTTTCTACCTTTCTCAACGTTAGATTGTCTTTGATTCTACCATTCACTTGCATGTCCTACAAGCCTAGAGATGCATAAATTAAGTATATTATATTTACCATGCCTAACTAGGAATGGATGAAGCTCTTCTATTTTTTTCTCCCATGCTAGGTATGATAATATACTAGTATTCTCACTAAAGAATGGAAGGTCACTCTTAACTTTATAATGTAGTTCATCCTCACCATGACTTAAATGCAAGCTATATATAAAAACTCATTTGTTTCAAAAGGATTTTGAAAAATGATTTTCATAAATAATTCTAAACATTTTTAAGATTTTTGAAATTGACTTATGCAAACAAACTTAGTATTTCAAATAAAATTTCTTAAGAGACTTAAGAAGACAAAAGAAGCTTAAATTTACGTCCAAAAAGAGAAGTGAATCATTATGGATTGCTTAGAAACCAAGTCTTTCCTAGTCAAAACTTATCTCAAGCTCTCTTTTATATATATATATATATATATATATATATATATATATACTAGTAAAAGAAAATTCATTACGTCTGTTATTTATTATGATAAAAGGTAATCAATTATTATTATAATTATAAAATTAAATATAAATAAATTTTATAATTTTATTGTAAATAAATTGTGGTTAGTTTTATAATTAAAAAATGATTAAACTAAATAAACGGTCAAATCGAAAAACTATTAAATTTTAATAAAATTAATAAAATAGTTATTTTAATTAAAATAATTATTTAAAAGATAAAATTGTAAGAAAAAAAAGAAAAAGTATATATATATATATATATATAATATTAATCTCATAAGAAATATTATAATTTAAAGGTAACATTTTCTTGAAATAGTTTATTTTGTCTTGAATGGTCAACCTATAAGTTAATTTTAATTCACTGTTGAAAAAACTTTCATTTAGGAGGTCCTAATTGAATAGGTAAAGAAAAAAATATAACCTCAAAGCTTCTTCTTATCTAAATTAGGGTTAGAATTAAGATGAATTTACTCCATTATATAAATTTAACTAATTAGAACTTGATCGATGACTTATAAACTAAAAATTCATTTTAAACTATTCAACCTTTTCAAATTATTTTTTTTAAGAACTAAAAAGATTTGTGTTAAAATAATAGATGCCAAAAAGAAAAAGAAACTTTGAACATGTAATGGATCTTCGAAGTACTATTTCCGCATCCCCTTATCAACAAATCCACCGACATTAGGATTACTTGTCAATGACTGATCAAGTTTGATAAATTCACCTTCTGAAACAAGAAAATCTAGTCCTTGAGATATAATATCAATCACTTCATGCTCATCCAATGCATCTACTATAGTGATTTCATATCCCTATTTTCTTTTCGTATTATTTTTTTGACGACCCTTAAATAAATTTCTTTTAAGAACCCTAATTAAAGCGGCAAAAAAGAAAACCCCAACCCCCAAAGCCCCACTCAAGTGAGTTAAAGTGAGTGCTAAAGTGGAATTGACCTCACTATACACTTTAATTAACTTTTAAAAACAATGCTTTCAATTTGGGTCATATGTCATCTCGGACCAAAGATCAACTCCAATAATAATTCAGTCGACTCCAACAATAATTCAGTTGACTTTGGTAAAGTTAACTCTGACCAAAATTCAAGACGAGTTTGTTTAGGTCGAATGTTGAGATGAGCCAAATTAGGGCAATGGTCTAAACAGATAGCTTGTCACAAGCAAAAGGTCGAGTTTGAGCAATCTAACTAAAGCTAAAGATCAACTTAGGCCGACTCCGGTTGAAGTTCAAGATTGGTTGATTCGATCCAAAAATCAAGAATAATTGTCCGGAAAGTCAATTCTAAAGAATTTGATTAAAAGTTGAGATAGATGGCAACCAAATATTTTAGTGGATTTTTTTTACGGACTTTTTTTATGTTGTACACTTTTAAAATAGGGATGTTTTTACTATGTGAATTTTTAAATCTATTCCACGTTGATTAAGATCAATTTCGATATATTAGGCCAAATTAACAAATTACTTGCTTCTATCATTTTTTTAATTTGTTGCTTAGTCTTTGCTTTAGGTAATCGACGATTTTTTCATTTCTTTAATTTTTTTACATATAATTCAGATGTGAACTATCATTTTATATTATTTTTTTCTATTCGTTGAGAAAGAAGACAAAAAAAGAAGTACACAAATTTAATTCCATCCCACAAGGATATTTGTCTATAAAAGTGTTAACCTTGTTAAAGGCTTCACCTCACAAGGATATGATATGAATAATGCCTGTTGCCAAACAAATTTGCAAGCAAAATTGCTTCTATTTGATACTTGGGAAAACTCCGGAACTTCTTGTAATAAGTGAGTGAGTAATAATATTATAAATGCTTTTTTTTCTAAAATTATAATAAAATAAAGAGTAGGTAATTGATTAGTATAACAAAAATTCATATCTTTAATTTTTAATACAGTAAAAAAAATATTATTAATATAATAATTTTAATTTCATTAATTTTGTTTGAATTCATAGTTGAACTAGAATTTAATTTTTAATAATACCATATATTTATTAAAGACATATTTAATTACCACAACTATTAATGGAATTTAATAAAATTAAATTTTATATTAATATCATAACTTTTTTTTCTTATTATATTTAAAAACAAAATACTAAAATATCAATTTTATATTCAACCTATTATGTACTCTAAAATAAATATTGTGAATATTGGTGGTAAGAGTCTATATTATAAACTAACACTAAATTATAATTTATAAATTATAATAACCTAATGTATTACCTTTGAATGAATATCAACATATACTTTTTATAACACATCAATTTATTTTTAGAAGTATAAAAAAAATAAAAATTTCTCATTGTTTTTTATGTTAAGAAGAAATCAAGTTTACACAAAAAATGGTTTTATTGACAATTAATTTATGGTGGTCAATTTACAAATAATTGTAATGTTTGGAAACTAATACATTATTTTTAACACGAGAAATCATCTAAATACATTTAAATGTTAGAAAATTAAAATAAAAAATACTTAGATTTTAGAACGCTGTTGGTAACATTGTCCAGCAGGCCCAGACCAATTTCGTCGAAGTGCCCAGTTGAGGCCCAAGAGAAAGACCTGGGGTGGTATATTATAGTTGAACAATAAACCCTACTCCCTCTCTCTACCGTCTGCAAGCTCCCAGTTTTCTGACCACTCTCACAGAGAGTTTGACGCGGCTGCGGAACAACATTCCAAAATGAAGGTTCTCTTCTGTGCAAACCCTTCTCGCAGTTGTTTTTTTTTTTTTTTTTTTTCTGATTCGTATTTTTAGTTTTGCCTTCCTCATCCTAGTCCTTCTTATTTATGCCTATTCTTTCTTACCTTAAGTACTTTTGTTGTTGCTCAATTTCATTGTGCCTTTTTATTCTGCAGTTCAACATTGCGAATCCCACCACTGGATGCCAGAAGAAGCTCGAGATCGATGACGATCAGAAACTGTATTCTCTTCACTTTTTCTTTTCTCCTCTTTTAATCTTTTTCAATTTTTGTTGTACCATGAAAGAAGGATGTATTGTTAAATTTGCCTGCCCCCATTTATTTAGGTTGTAGTAAACTATGCTTAAAACTTTTCGAATTCCTACTCTTATCGGTTCCTAATAGTTATTTTGAATTAAAGTTCACTTTTTTTAAGAGAAAAATTAAGCATCTCAAAATATATTTGTATCATTTGCCCATTTATTTATAAATACAAAAACTTTTACTGAAAGTGTGGCTGTTATAAGTAGTTCCAAAGGCAAGTATATATATATATATATATATAT